ATTAAGATTCTTGTGTTTAACTACTTAACTAACAAATTAAAATAGTAAATTAACAACTAACGATACTGAGGGTTCGAGAAAAGATTAAGGAGGTCTAGAGTTATGATTTCCCCTATTGTCGGAATCCTTTCCGCTATGTCTTCTATAATTTTGCCTAAGTATTCTCTACCAATCATGAGCACTCTTATAGCCGTAAATCTCTCCCGAGTAATTACGACAATTTACTAGACGCACTCTCCCGAGCTACGCTAGCTGGCTTTTAATACAGCTCACTTCAGATCGCACCCAAGGCTTCGTTATCCCTAATCCCACCTTTAAACCCTCGGTTATTGATCCCTCATATACTCTGGGAGTGGTGTTGTTCAACAACTACCTAAATATGCACTCTCTCCCGAGTTATGCATACTAAATAGGCACAGCTAATTGAGAGCTCTTCAATCAACCAGAATATAAACGTAGTTGAACAAATAGAGAAAAGCTATGGCTCAATTATATAAAAACATAACAAGAATTTATCCTACAAAAGGTTCTATCAAAACTCTAGATAACAAATTAGCTATTCATAATAGTATGTAAAACTACAATACTAAAAGTCATAACCAACAATGAAAAATAGGAAGAGGAAGGAAAAACTCGTAGAAGAATTCTCCACCTTGCTCCCAATGTGTTCTTGCCTCCAAGGGTGTTGTCTAACCCTAAAGTAGTGTCTCTCCGCCTCCTTAGGTCTAATTTGTGTCCAAAATATGTCCCCCTCCTTGTTCTTGGCCGACCTCCTTTGTTTAATATAGGGTTTAGGACTTAAAACCCCATGTTTTGCACTTTAGACCCTGAAATTTTCGCTTCCTGCCGCGGTCCCGCCGCGGTCGCGGTCAAACCGCGGCCAAACATACTCTCTGATTCTTCAGTTGTCCGCGAGTACACTCTGCCGCGGTTGCGGTGGAATCGCGGTTTTTCACCCTGTTCCGTTAGGAATTTGGAAAAACGTAAAACATGAAAGTTGTAGCCCTTTGATTTAGCTTTCCAACCATATATTGTGGACTCCAAATGGAGGTCTGAGCAAACAGTTATGTCTATTTTACTAGACAGTGCGCATTATGCCTCCTCAAGTCTTCGTTCGTACTTAATTATCAAATTTGACCCCCGAACACGATCCCGGCTTAATTCCTTGAGCTTTTACTCAGACTTCAAAGCTTCAAATCACTTAAATTCATTCCATAACATCTATATAGCTCGGAATCACACCTACAAGGCATAAAACACACAATTAGTGCAAAACACTAGCGATTAAAGCGCAAACTCAATTAAAGTGCAGTAAATTCGAGTGTAATAAGCGACTAAAATATGCAATTATAGCCTATCATCAAGAATGCCGTTAAAGCTTTCAGTAAAATTCATGACAGGATAGATGGAGTGAGCATCTCAGCCAATGCTAGCTTTGAACAATTGAAGGAAGCCATCTGCAATACCCTTACTTATTTCTTGCGTCGCTAATGGGATGTTTAAGACAATTTTTTTTGCTTTGTTTTGCTATGTTGCAGCTGCTGGTTGGGGCTGTTGTTTCAGCCATTGGACAATTTTTTCTTTTTTCTTTTGCTCTAGGTGTTTATGACTGAACTCTCATGCTACTGCTTCGTGCTATATATTCTGTGTGATTATTAGTCTGTTCCCTCTTTGATGATGCCAAAAAGGGGGAGAAAAGTATATGTTGTATCTGTACAGGTACAGTTGACTATGGCACAGGTAGCATCCGTACCAAGAGTCGACTACAATAATGGACTAGTCAACTGCATGAACTGAGGGGGACTGCCAGGATCCTCATACAGGGAAGTCAACTGCATGAACCAAGGGGGAGTGCCAGGATCCTCAAACTGCATACATTCAGGGGGAGTAAAATATAGGAAAGTCAACTGGTATTTATACAAATATATTATTTTGACATCATCAAAAAGGGGGAGATTGTTAGATCTGATTTTAATAATGTCAATAATATATTTGTGCTGGAAATCAATCAGCCAAAATTGTGGAAAGCTGCGATGGAAAGAATCGTGTGAAAGCCTGAAACTCAGGCGTCAATCAAGGCCTACACATTCTAGGAGAAAATCAAGGAGATTCGCTGATCTGCCGACTTTGGAAAAACCGATAATCAAGAAGCAAATCTTTGTCTTCAACAGCTGAAAAAGGGAAGTGATCAAGAGCTACCAACTATGGAAAGACCAACAATTCAAGAGCAAATCTTGATCAATGACTAAAGAAGGAAGGCAATCAATCTTCTCTCATCAAGGAAGAGCAATGGCCAGAAATCTTATTCATGGAAAGAATCAATCTCTTTCCAAGGATCAAATCCCTTGGGTTGCTGAAATCACTTCTGCTCAAAGTCTTCACCAAAGTATTTATACTTAGTTTGCATCCTTAGATAAATATACTTTGATCAAACCAAAATTCTCTCTTTATTCTACTACAAACAAACATTGTGGCTCATTGAGATCTGCTGTGTAACAAGTTAGAGAAAAAGGAGAGTATAACACTGGTGAGGCATTGTATCAAAAGAAGACGAGTGTTATAAGAACTGAGCTATCAAATCATTTCTATTGTACTCGAAGAAACGCAATTGCTAAAGAGAACTCCCTTGCAACCCAAGGGGACTGGACTCGGATTCAATATGAATCCGAACCAGTATAAAATTCCGGTGTCTTTAGATTTCTGCACTTACTTTCTGTATTTTATATTCTTCCATTACCACTGTTATTTTATTGCATCAAGTCGACTAATTGGTAAATCAGTCAACTAATAGAGTCTAAGTTTAAAAATAATACAATTCACCCCCCCCCCCCTCTTGTACTTTCATATTAATGGTTATAAAACTTATTGGAACATTCAAAAGTTCTAAGACCAACCTTGAAATAATACCTTAAAAGATAAATTCTGAAAAAGTTTAAGAAACATTTATAAATTATATCACAATAAGAATATTTATATATTAAATATATCTAAAATTTCTATATATGTATGTCGGGTTGGTTTGGTTTCGGCTTGACTTTCTTTAGTTAAAACCAAACCAAACCAATTATGGTCGGGTTTTTTTCCCAACACCAAACCAAATCAAACCAAACCATAGTCGGGTTTTTTTTCCCCGGTTTGACTCGGATTATCGGGTTGGTACGGTTTGTCGGTTTTCTTTGTACACCCCTAGTGGTGTGGGGGGGGGGTTGAAAGGAGTGAAAATAGCACGGGCTTGCCAGTTTTCGGACTGGTCATTCAAAAATAGTCAGCGTTTGCAAAGTCATTGAAAAATAGCCACTATTTTGCTGCAACACGGAAAGTTCCAGTATAATTATACAGGAGTTCCGGCATAAGTATACTGGAATTCCAGTATATTATACTGGAGTATTTTCTGGATTTTGAACAGTGTTTTCGTTCAGATTTATCTTTATATGAAAAGTTGCTAAATTTCGATTACTTTTGAAGCTGTAACTATTTTTGAATGATAACTTGTAAATCTGGCTATTTTTGAATTTCTTCCGTGAAAGGAACGTTGTTTGAAACATTCTGGCCATGTCAAAGTCCGAAGTTTGGGGGGGGGGGGGGGGTAGGGGGGCGGGGGGGTTAGGGTTATAAAACGAAAG